ATACGCTAAAATCGCCCGTCCTCACCTTCTTCGAGATTCCCGTCGATGATCGGGACAAAGAGTGCCCGGTGCGGATCAAGATCGGCCTTGATCCGGCTAAGGTGAAGTTCCCGTCGAAATAGCAGGCGCCCTAGGAGGCTAGATGCTAGCGGACACCGACAAGGACTTGATCGTCGCTTGGGCGCGATCCCATCGTGATATCGAGGCCGTCTGGCTCTTCGGGAGCCGGGCGCGGGGTGACAGTCGGCCGAACAGTGATATCGACCTTGCAGTGATGACGCCGACAGAGCTCGATTGGATCGACAATCAACGGCAGTACCGAGACGAGCTGCTGGCACTGTCACAAAAAGCGGACCTAAACTGGTACCGCCCCAATGGCGACGTGCCAACGGTTGCCAAGGCCGTTAGCGACCATGGGCTGTTGCTCTATCGCCGCTAGGCTTCTTGGAGTGTGGACTGACTTCGCGCGGTCGAGGTTCTGATAGACGCCGCACAGGTCCTCGGTTCGGATCAGCCATGCACTTGGCAATGAGTGACGCTTCGTAGGTGCTTGTAGCCGAATATGCCGAGAATTATCAGCGGCCCCCTAGAATACGAAGTCCGAGACACCATCTCTTTTGCAAAGAATGCGGGGGAGGCAACTCTGGTTGGCTACGAATGCAAATCGTGCGGGGATCGCGCTCTGATCAGGGAGGCTCCAATGAAGGGCAACCAGATCATGATGGACAATCAGATCATGGATAAGCTGAGAGAGTCCGGCACAACATGCATGAAGTGCGGCAGCAGCAACCTTCACCTCGTCTCGATGACATCCCACTTCGTCGAGGATTGGCTGAAGGCCCGTTAAGCGCGAGCACCGCGTTGAAACCGTGCCGAACGCCATCCGGAGCCGGAGTTGTTAGCCGGAAGGAGCGTCTCGTGAAAAAGCCGCCGCTTGTGAACGGCTTGCACCATTGGTGGCCCAAGACCGTGTCCAAGTATTGGGGGAATCCCGATGGCCTCGTGAACCGGCTAACCCATGACGGTAAGCTCCTGCAGGCACCAACCAAGCAGTTTGGAGCAGTCCGCAGTGACAACAACATCCGGCTCGGGGACACTGACACTGTCTGGGACGAGTCTTTTGAGCCAAGCTTCAATCAAGCCGACTCCGCCTTTGGCGGTTTGATCGATTGGCTGCTGTCCCTTTCGTCCCATGTAGCTGCACATGAAGCTTCCAGGAAGCGGGTGATTCCCTTGATCATCACGCGTCAACAACATGCCGATCTAGCCGAATGCCTGGCATCGCTCATCGTTCGCGGTCCCGCCTTACGTAACCGTGTAGCTCAAACAGTTGAGTATTATCGCGGCCGAATGGGCCTAAGAGACGTGACTGCCGACAGGAAGTTGATTGGGGCGAACATTCGGAACGGACAACGCGTGGTAGCGAACACAATGGCTCGGGGCGGCAAGTTCGCCATCCTTCGGGCAGCGAGTGGGGAGTTTATTTTTGGCGACGGGTTCTATCACAACATCTCCTCCGTAACGGATGCTCC